TGTAGCGCCGACTTTCCATGCTCTTGGGATTCTATAGAATATCTGCATCTTCTGGTGCCTAGGTGCTACTTTCCTAACGCCAACTTTCTAGACTCTCAATTTGTGTACAATTCTGGATTGGGCTAACCCTAAGGCACCACAACACCATTTTGCTTAGATTCACGATGTTTTGAACTTCGTTCGCCCCCCTAACCTGAATCATGCAGTACAACACGAAAACTTTCCTCAAAGCATAATATAAACATTCAAAATGAAAGAAATAAGGTACATATCATGCAAGATTTATAAATATGTTAAAATCTTCCAAACTTAAACGTAACTTGAGTTTAAGAAACTTTAAAACGTAAAATTTGACATAGTAAGAATCATAGAATAGTGGGTTCTCATTAGTATCCAACTAGAAATCTGAAATTAAAAGATATACATATGCAAGTGAACTTATGTTTCTATTAAGTTATTTCTTCAAAGTTTTCTCTCGAAACATTGAACTCTTTAAAAGCTATTAAATCTTATATATTCACTCTAAGTTACTATGTTGAAGCTTAACTAATACAATTTGATATGTTAACTTTTAAAACTTTAGACATCTATTAATTCAAGTTGATTAGTTATTAATCTATAAGCATAAAAAATTGAGTTAGGTTGGAATTGTCAATAATTTTTTTTAAATTTCTATAGAGACAATAGTGAAAATAATTTTTAGATAGAGCCAATCCTCAAACTTCTCCTCAAAGGTTCTTTCAACATTATTATCTTTTTATCCATGAACTTTCTTTTGGATTTACTTTTCTTCAATCCAAAATTATATTTTTTTAATTTCTATAGAGATAATAGTGAAAATAATTTTTAGATAGAGCCACTCCTCAAGCTTCTCCTCAAAGGTTTTTTCAACATTATTATCTTTTTATCCATGAACTTTCTTTTGGATTTACTTTTCTTCAATCCAAATTTTTTGTATTTACTCTTTTCTTAAACTCATCATAGAGGATTACTATATCTGGATTAGCCCGTTATGATTTTGAATTCCACCATCACCTCCATTGATTAAATCTTCATAACACCCCCTTCCCAATCAATATCACTTATCTATGTAAATTTTAATATTTCAAATTTCTTTGTTCTTTAATCTATACCTACTTTGATTAAGAGAAAAGCTCAAAATTTTAAGCTTCTATTAATATAGGGGAAAATAATCTTAATTATCACATAAACCACTCTGCCCTTTCCCCTCACCTCATAAATAAACTTATTGATGACTAACACAAATGAGAAAAATAAAAATAAATAACATAACTACATCGCCGACCCTCTCATGACCGTTGTTCACCCTCCTGCACTTGTGCGTCAGCACCACCTCCTATGGTTGAATCTACTCTTAGGGGGCTCAATTTCTTGCTAGGGTTGTGACGACCCTCAGGACTTCAGCGATCTAGCCCGACACCTGCTCCATGATCTGAGTCTTCATCTCCTGCGTTGCTTGTTGCATACATTCCTCGATGTCATCTCGTGGGGAATCTACATTAGCTACTACTCTTTGGTCACCCTCCTCTCTCTGTGATCGATGTGCTCCACTTGTTATCGACGCCATGACTCCATGCTCACCGCATTTTTTAGAATGTTGAATCCCAAACTGCCCAGGAGACACACCTAAGGGACAAAACCCTAAAGGAAGAGAGAGAGACAACTAGGAGAGTAATAGCACAGTAATGAATACTAAATTTGTGTAACATTTATTCATGAAATAGACACCCTATTTATAGTAATGGGGGTCTTACAATTACATACTATACCCCTAGCATACGTAGGTACGACGGGGGTATTTTAGTCTATAAA